AGGGCCGGGGTAGTAGGGAAACTCATGCTGATGAGGTTGCAGCCCAAAAAGCAAGGGTGTAAACTTCGACTCTAACGTCTCCTGTTTGACGTGCAATCACCCCAAGGCACAGGGACACCTATAGGGGGTACCTTTAAAGGGGACATAGGGATTATGTGAGGGTTAGATAAATAAATAAATATATATATATATATATATCCTCCAATTCCAAAGATGTGAAATTTGGAGGCGCTCTAATGTAAAGTCCTCGTAGAGTTGCTATCTGGCCACGAACACGAGATAACAACACCCGAATAATTTGGCTATGCATCTTAGCTGCATGTCTTTGTGACATCTCCACCAGCAGCTGGAGACAAAGCGCAGCAACATCCGAGCGTGATGCTGCCACCTTGGCATGCAAGATACCAAGCTCTTTAATAACACCTTCTAATATGGCGGTATAAGGAAATGAACGGAAAGGGACAGCAAACTAGGCAGGACGCATACTGATACCTGTCTTCAAGCGGGTTGAGCATCATTCCGCGCATGATCTGCTTTAACCACCTCCACTGAATTTGTCCTAGAACTCTCGCAAAAGACGATGCTTGGCTGTTTCTCGGGGGGTGTATGATAAGCAAAACCTGCAAGGCAGACATCCCTAGTTGAAACGCCTATCAGCCCTTCAGCACCTTGCGAGACATTCCCGTCTCAGAGCAGGTGACAGTTTATGGCTTCCCCTGCTAAAAGATATATACCCTGAGTGTACTGCCCCGACAAAGTTCCCCTTACAGGACAATCAGGGCCTGGCCTGGGGGGAGTAATCCTGGGGTCCCGGTGTGTCTTATACGGCCCTACAAGCCCAACTAATGGCCCCTAGCTAGGATCCGGGAAACAGGTAGGGGCTCGTATCAGCAGCCCATTTTTAGGACCTTGGAGGTAACATGGCAGAAGGCGAACTATGTTCCAGACAGTTGGGCGGGAAGGCTCTGCATGAATTTCAGCCGAAGCGGCGGCGTCCAGGGTAGAACCAGTACGAGCTGTTGCACGGCCAGCAGTCATCCTCTGAGAGCAAATTGTTTTTAGGGTTTAAGCCTTAAACCTCTGTTGTTTAGTACCCTGAGGGTCCATGTACCCAATAATCAGGTCCCTTTAAAGTAGATATATAGGGATATATAGGGATATATATATATATAGGGTTTAGGGTGTTTGGGATATGTGCGCTGCACATGACCGCATCCTATGCCCTGACTTGTGCCAGCATGCTCGAGTAGAGTCTGGAAGTGCAGGTCAATCAGGGCGGAGATCCAGTGCATGTGGAACTGGTAGTGCCTGGGCTTGTAATTCACTGCTACTAGAAGTACGCTCACCATTACAATAGCTACTACTTTTGACTACTTTTGTTGTTGTTGCTGTTATTACTATTGCTACCAATGCTCCTATTGCTTGTTCAAGGTCTGGAGCCAGGACGATACCGCAGTTCTGGGAAAAATGGATTTGCATTAGGAGCTTAGGGTTAAGGGCTTAAGATTCGGGTTTAGGGTTGCGGCTTCAGGGTTTAGAGACCCTCTTTAATGTGTTTTGGTCCTGGAGTCCTAGCAGAATCCAGACCATACCCCTTACATGAACCCCCAGGGCCTGCAGCACCGTGGCAGCCTCATCTGGAAGCCCTGCTCTTATGGCCCCCCGAACAAAGGATCTGCAACATGCATCTTTACAAGCCCCTAAACTCATTCGAAGGGCCGGCCACGGTTTTGCAGCCTATGGCTGCCTCCCTTGAACTTTGAAACTGTTGTTGAAAAGTCGGCCGGACCGCAGAAAACACGACGCGCTCAAGCACGTTGAAGCCTTGACGTCCATACATTTCGTTCTGGAGACAAGATCCATACATGAGGGGCTCTGTGGAAGCACCAAAGGAAGCAGCTCCTCGTTCTTTGCCACTGACTCTCCAGACCTCTAATACGGAAACATATATAATCCCCTGTTTGTAGCTCCACTCCCCACCGAGTCACTGCTCAGAAAACAAGTGAAACCAGAATACAAGACAAGCCGAAACTTACGTAATCCTTTTGGCACCACTGCTACTCTCCCATAAATCATAGGAGCATCTGCTACCCCTAACATAACACCCCACCCCAAATCATACTGCAAGACATCCCTAAATGGCCCTGCAATTAAATTAAGCCTTATGTGATTTGATCGCATGAACCCTAAATCCTGAACCCCTAGACTCTCAACCCTGAAGCCCTCAAGCCTAAACCGCTAAACTCTGAAAACCTAAGCCTTAACCCTAAACCCCTCAGGTCTAAACCCCTGCACACCCCTGAACCCTTACATCCCTGAAACCCTAACCATTAAAGCCCTGAACCCTTAGAACCCTGAAGCCCTCAACCCTAAACCCTAAAGCCCTTAACCCCTAAACCCCTGAAGCCCTAGCCCTCCAGATCTGCATGGATGGTGCGGAGTTCCCGTCTGTGGCTTCAACCTCGTGGACCAGTTTTAGGGTTTAGGGTTTTAGGGTTTAGGGTTTAGGGCTCAAGGTTTAGGGCTTAGGGTTTAGGGTTCCCAAAGTTAGGGGTACCTTCGCAAGGGTGATCTAGGGCTTAGGGTTTAGGGATTGTGTAGGGTTTAGGGTTTCCCTTTTTCAGATCTATCTGGGTGTCTCTTTAATCATGGAAAAACCATTTCCAGTCCAGGCAGCAGCTAACTAGGTATGATGCAAAACCTTTGTGTTGTCTGTATTGGTCGTGATAGGAGACAATAGGATATTTACTGCTTATAATTTGGGCTTTCCCTACCGTAAGGGGTCATCATGTTGTCCTACGTATCTCCCTTTCAAGTCGTTTTCGCGCAGTGTTCCTCTCTTCGGTTCTGACAGCTTAAATGCCTCTTACTAATCAACATCAAATGCTCCCCCAACCCCTGTTTAGGGTTTATGCTAAGATACCTTGTATAGTGGGGGGAACTTTTTTAATATGAGGGATGGGGGTTATATTGAACATTAGTGTGAAGATTGGTTCTTTTCGTCAGGGCTAAGCTCCGAAGACATCTCATAGCATTGGGAGTTTCCCAGAATTTGGGGTACCTTTTTTGGGTGGCTTTCATAAAGAGGATCATATCATTTTGGGGCTGAATTGTGGTCCCTCAATTTCGGTAAACAACCCATTGGACTTGCAGTACACTGCTGGCCCAACGAAGCTGACGGTTTGGTTGTGTTTATGGAAACTCCCATTGTATAATAAGGATTGTGGTAGATTTGGGGCCCCCACATTTGTTTCCCCTCCCGCTTGGCTGTTACGCATGCAGGGCAACTGAGATCACAACTGGAAAGTGCAAACCACTGCGAAAACCGTAGTGAATTACAGAGCCCTCCGAGCTAACCACACACACAAAAACCCATAACCCCCAAATGAAGGGCCATCACAGTCAGCTCCAAGGGCCGCCCCCCCATTATGCGAACTAGGGTTTGGGGAAGGTCCCATATAGGGCCCTTGACACCCCTGGGTGCAGGGCTTAGGGTTAAGTCAGATGATTCTGATGGATCTGACTGCTCAATCTTGGGTACTGCCCCCACCCAGTAACAGTCTGTAGTAGGGGTCCTAACAAGGGCTATATATATATATAACCATAACATAATAACTATCCAACTGTTACTGAGGGGGGGCAGTACCGAAGCTCAATCTTACGCAAGTAAGCAGGGACCGTCGAACATCCGTTCTTCTGGTCTTACTTTTGGGTTAGTTGTGACTACCCATGTCATAGTTCAGGGCAGGCGCTACTCCCCAAAACACCCTAAGCCGAAACTTCAAACCTTAAGCCCAAAACCCCTAAACTTAAACCACGAACCCTAGATCTTAAACCATAAGCCCTAAACCCTATAGACCACCTACTAAACCATAAGCCCTGAATCCCAATCAGCACATAGTATTTGGTCCAAGAGGCTCCAGGCTCAAGAACCTGGGGGTTTAGGGTTAAGGGTTTAGAGTTTAGGTTTCGGGCATCGACTCATGATGTCAAGGTTTGGGTTTAGGGTTCAGGGCTTAAGGTTTGGGGTTTCGGGTTTTTTAAGTTTATATAGCGTTTCGGGTTTAGGGCTTAAGGTCATTAATCCCCTCGCCTATTAGAATCAACAACAGCAGGGGAGTTTCCAACAGGGAGAACTACGGAACGGACATGTAGGGAACAGGTATGCAAGGCGTATGCAAGGTCCCTACACGGCAACTTCCTTCCTGTAGTTTTCTTAGACCCTAATGATAGCGCATCCCCCGAGCTTCTTCAAAGGGATTGTGGTACTATATGTCGGTCGGGCGGCTTATTAATGGGGGAGGGGATCACAGCAAAAGAAATGTTTCCCGTATAGGGTTTTGGAGGTTGCAAGCGGTAAGTCTAAATTCTTAATGGGCTTTGTTCGGCAGATCGAGAGAACCCTGGTTCCTCTAAACCTGGGCTTCGGTAGAGGATTCAGTCTTCCTGATGTCTCTTCTTCCAGAGCAGTAGGTAGCCTCAAGTAACCCAAATTAACGTTTTAAGGTTTAGGGTGTGGGGTTTTAGGTTTAGGGGATCCCACGTAGGGTAGAAAAGGGGGAGTGGAAAGAGAACCCATGAGGCTCGACTCACATGCTGGCGAGCGCACTATCGAAGTGTGCTTCAAGATTTCGTTTAGGGAAGGAATGACGGCTCATAACTGGTTCCGTATAATTCCCTTGAGGAACCAAGTAAGTCACTACCCCTCCTTTCAGGCCATCTTGCCTCCTTTAGCACCAGCCGGATGAGAGCAGTAAAATGGCATTTTCGGTGGGCAACAGATTTCACGGCATGTTTGATGATGGAGTTTCCTATTACCATAAGCCCTAAACTAAACCCTATCAAGTAGTGCATCTTCGACTGTCCGCAGGCTCGAACCGTCGAGCACTAAACTTCGAAATCCGAAGCCCCGTAAATGGCTAACCAGCAGAGCCGAAGCCAACCCTGGTCCCTAAGCCCCTGAAACTAACGCCTTCCTCCCATACTCCACACCCCTAAGCCTAACACCTCCACCACAAACCTCCAAAGCCAGGGAGCCACAGCAGTGCTGGCAGCAAAGGGGAGCCGATCGAAGCAACGACGAGCTGAATGGACTGCACTGGCACCTCTCGGACGCGGGGCAGAGTGGGGGGGCTACCCACAAAGCCCAATACGACCCCTCCATTGAGGAATATACCTTGAATACAGCTAGGATTCCTTGTATGATTAAGAGTATATTCCTTGCTGAAGGCGTTTGGGCTCCCTGGGTACATGCCAAAAAACCTACTCGAAGGTCCTGAACTCATGAAGCGAAACCTCAGAGACCTACTCTACCCCAACAATAACCTCCCCCGACCCCCCTAGCAATCCACCCCAGCAATACAGTACCATTCTATGGCTGGGTGGGTGACTATCAATTATTTTAGGCGGGTGGGGGGTTATGAAGGGGGAGTGGATTGTCCAGGAGGAAAGGGGAGGGTGGGGCTGGGTTCTCTGTGCGCAGAGGATGCTCAAGGTTTGGGGTTTAGGGATTCAAGGTTTATGGGAGATAGTTTATGAAATTCAGAGCTGATGGGTTTATGGAATTTAGGGTTTATGGGATGTAGGGTTTATAGGGTTTAGGGTGTAGGTTTAGCACGCAGTTGTTCGCAAGCAGGGCCAGCACAGTGATCCTTTTCCGGTGCAAAGCCAAACCCCACCCAGCAATCTGGCGCCTTCTCGTAGACCTTCCGCAGCAGGCCATAGTCGTTCCTCATATATACCGATACACATAAATTTATGTAGGTATCTATAAACCCTACGTGCACGAAGCTCCACACCCCGGAAATTGCAAAGGAGTCGTGCTTAAAAGCTCCGACCCTCACCAAAAATCAGAAGGAACCCCGGCTTCAAACAAATTGAACCGTAAGCCCTTATCACAGGACCATAATAATCCCTATATAACCCCTATAGAATGCCTATATTTCGTATAGTTTCCATTGTCCTTTCCAGTATTCCCATTTTTGCTAGGGGAAGAGTACAGAAGGACAGCCAAGTGTCAGGGCCAGAGCCAAAATCATGGCCTTTGAAATGTCTCCTTCCTCAAGCGCCTGGGAAGAGGCGGGACGTTTGTATTCGGAGAAACATGGGTTTCCCATAATTAGGGGTACCTTTTTGAGGGTCCCTATAGCAAGGACTATAGTATATTGGGGTCCCCCCATTCCAGGAAATTACCATATAAGTTCAGATTTCAGGGTGCAGCAACATCAGGAGTCCGAACGAGGGCCCCAAATTTCAAGGTCAAGGGCACAGCTCAAGCCTTATCATTCAGAAGTTTAGGGGCCCTGCATTTCTCTCTTGCGGTTCCCTAAACCCTGAACCTCTTACTACTCAAGAAGTCCAAAGGCTCAGAACTTGCTCTTGTGCAAGGCAGCCATCATGTTGATTAGGGTGAAAGGTCACCTTGCCCTAGGGTTGAATGCTGAGTATAAGCCCCCTAAACAACTAACAAGTCTAAACACCAACAGTAGCATTGAAAGTTACAATTCTGCTACTTCCTTGAAATTCTTGGATGTGGGATGTCTAACACATAGCGCACGGCTGGTTAGCTACAAACGGACATTCTGAACATGTCAGGGTAAGTATGTCACGAAACAAGTGTGATCAGTACTAGTAACCATAAGAAACTATTGGATATTACCTGGCTAGAACTTGGATTTTCGCTGCCTAGGAACTTGTCTGACAAACATCAGTTTTGCCTTCCATTGCCTTCCCAAAGAGCCCAGGTAGGTGAATAGTATATACATAGGGCCCACAGGGCTTCCCATGGGCTTTCTTTGGGGCTCAGGTATAGACTACATAGCTACATGGACCCTTTGGGCTTTGCATTCCTTTACTTTGCGTCTCGCCTTCCCTTGCCTTCACTTCCCTCGGCTGCACTTCCTTTTCATTCCCTTCCCTGCCTTCCCCGGCCATGTGATTTTTAACATGATGATTCATAAGTGCAGTATTTTGAATGCAGGCAGCTCGCAAATGCTAGAAGCTAAATCAGTAAACATTTTCCGAAACCACACAACCAATGAGCGTGTAGGGACACCCAATGTTTGGATTCAGGGTCAGCAGTGTGTAACCAAGACCTGCTGAGGGCCTCAAATGAACAGTTCTGGCAGTTCGTGCATCACTTTGTTTCTGCGTCCCTCGGTGGTAACTAACTGCATTGCTCTGTCTGTGTGCTCGTGGGTAATTTGCGGTAGTAACAAATGTGGTGCGGAGACCTTTCACAAGTCACAGTTCTGTAAGCGACTCTGAGTTTATGTGGTGAGTGATCTTTGTTTCACACTGGCACCATCGAAGAGGTGAAGCAACACACTAAAAGCAACTAGCAGCTGGCCTTTTGCTAGCCGGGAATGGATGGAACGGATCCCTATATTACTATATAAACCCCATGACCAGGAAGCCTTTAATACCGCCGGTGCCGACACTGCTTTGGTCAGCATCTGCGGAACAAATCGGCTTGTCTCGGTGCCTTGACGACCATTCTGAGGGGATACATGGTAGTTTCCCAAAATAGGGCGACCCCAATGTAGACTCCAAAATACTGTAACACTTAATAAATGGACCCCCCAAAAGGTACCCCTAATTTTTGGAAAGTCCCATTATGGGGATTGTCCTTCTCAGAAGGTCTATAGGCGTAAAGGCGTCAGAAGGTCTGTAGGGGTAAAGGCAGGTATGACCGAAAGTGCACTTGGTAGTTACCCTCCATAGGGGTCCGCCCCGAAAAAGTACCCCTAATTTTGGGACACACCCACTTCTGACAAAGCAGGCAACTATGTTGGCAAGCTTGTTTGATTGCCTACATCACGCCTTGCAGCTACCCAAGGACCTTCAGGAGAGGGGTCAAGTGGCGAACGGTTTTTGGGTTGCACGTCAGGACTAGGTTGGCGAAAAATGTTTGTGTGTGGGGGGGAGGGGGGGGGGGATAATTCCAAAAACCTGATGTTTTGGATTTGAAAAGGCCCAACTTGGCACATGCATATGTTGATGTGGGCCTTTGTATCCATGTGCGCTAACTACTCTTGTACATGACTGTCGAGATGAACCAGTGGCCCAAGGCCTATCAAGTCTTTTGTGTACCAATGCATGATCCCTGGAATCTACATGCCACATGCGCCCGTAAGTACCATACTCAGAACCTTTGGATACTGCCCATGCAAAAAACATCCATGCTCTTCAACAGCGCCCCTATGCGCGGCTACATGGCAGTTTCTTGAAACGCGGAGCCCAATAGGACGTCAGCAATGCGCAGGGCTTATGAGCGAATTCTTGCGGGCCGTGTTCATGATTTTGTCACAACTGTTATCGTAAACACGCGCCGTGCCCGCACACCTAAAAGTAGATCTGTCCCCCAATATGCAAAGTCTCTTATGGGGAGTACTCAACATTAGGGGTGTGTGTGTGTGTGGGGGGATTCATGTGAGTTTTTAGAATAAAGATAGGGGGCCCCACAGTACACCCCAATATGCTAAAATCATGATTCATCAAACCCTCAACCCAACCCTATAAATCCTGATAAAATCTCTTATAAACCCTATATATACATATATATATATGTATATATATGTATGTACCCTAAACCCTAAACCCTAATGTAAGGAGTATTTTGAACTGAGGGTGCCATAGATGCCGGAAACGCCCGCCATTCCCATGCCAGCATCCTGGACCGGACTGCAGGACGCTGCTTAGGGGGTTGGAGTTTCTTTAGGGTTTAGAATTGTAGGGAAGGGGCTTGAGGTTAGGGTTTAGGGTTGGCTTTGAGAGTTTAGGAGAGTCCGCACCCCGGAGCGGACGGTACCTGGCAATATATGAAGACGCCATGTAGTAGCTTCCAATTTCTTTTCCATGATCCCTATATAACTCCCTACACCCTAAACCATATCAAGATATAATCCTATATTACCGTATATTTTCCCGAGATAACCCCGTGCCTGGCAATATACGAAGACGCCATGAGTGGTCGCAACTGCAAACTGCTGGGAGTCAGCAGAAAAAGCGACGTCCCAAACGTGCAACTCCTTCTCGGTGTAGGCGTCCTACGCGGAGCGAAGATGGAAGCATATGGATCTATGAGCCCTGGACTAAAGTTCAAATTTAGTGCTTGGTAAGCCCTCCCAAAACCCTCTTTATTCCCCTATACGTCCGCCCCAACCTAACTGTAGTCCTTAGCTCATATGGCTCTTGCTTGCCTAAACGAAAGTGTAAAGGCCTATTGAAGTAGCAGATTAGGCCCGAAGTAACCACATGGGAATCTATTTGGGCCCAAGCTGTCTGGTGTTTCAATTGTAGTCTCCCGACGTAGATAGAATATGGCTTTGGATATATTATAAGAAAATCCCCATCTACCCCATATTCTATCTACCTAAAGGGGGCTATAGGTACTTAGAGCCTTGAAGTATGCATCTGGCCATGAGGTGCGGGAGTAACGTAGCAACAAATACCCAAGGCTTAACGGCCCTAACGGCTGACGCGCCGCTGATGCGATTTCATGGAGGCTCTTAAGCTGAGCAAGAAATCTTGTGCATACAACGTCCTAAAACGAGGTTCATTCTAAACGGGCGCCCATGACAGGTATGCGCATGCCAAACCATTCCTGGCGCCATATCGATAGCACCGTGAAACACCAGTACATCAATGTACATAAATGCGCAGCAAAGACGGTTGGAATCCCAAGAACCTCTCGTCATTGGAAAGCACATGTGCAATCCACATAATACACGGACCGATATAATACCAATATAACGTTCAGGTCTGTTTGGCGTACCTTATAGCATATTGATACAAGGAATCTAGGACCATAACCATGGCGATAACCTTTATGAGCCCCTATATAAGCCGAGTTTCCATTTCATGTTCCATCTTGTTTGCCATTTGCTTCTCCATTTTCAAGGGTAATCTCTCTTCAAGCTCTTTAAGCCATATATTCCGAACCCTAAGCCCCTAAACCCTAAACATACCCGCAGCCTTATTCATTCCTGCCTGGGCCTTTCATCCACAACCTCTCTCACTTTGAATCCCGTGCGTTCCGTTGGGGAGGGTTTATATAGTCCCCCTATCTAGATAGAATACGGGGAAAGAGGCTCTCATTTTGGTTTTGGGGTTCAGGGTTTACGGTTTAAGGTTGTGCTATTGCATATTCTCTCTACTCAAGGGGGACTGTAGGGTTTAGGGCTTCAACCTCGCAAACTCACATTCCTATCTTTTCTGCAGCCATCATCAGTCTAATGATCCCTAAGCCCTAACCTGTGGAATGGGCTGGTAATCCTGGGATCCTTACATATGCCCTTGGGTTCAGCCCTTGGCCAAAACCTAGGTCGCAGCTCTGCCAATAATGTTGGGTAGTGATTAATAAAAGAATACAGCGAACTTTTGGCTGAACGGAAGAGTACCGAATAGAATGAACTTTTGACTGACTGGTATTTTGGCAAAGAAGGAAGATAATAATTGAGAAGCAGACTTGATCCCAGCAATGCAAAATGAATTGACAGGGCCCAAGACCCACCCCCCCAAAAAAACATGGTTGCCCAAATTTGATTGGAACCTGGACTATTTAGAACATCCACTTGTTTAGGCTTAGGGCTTTAAGGCTTATGAATCAGACACCCCTTTAAGGAAGCAATCTGAGTACAGACGCAAGTTAGGGCTTTTAGGGCTTAGGGTCTGGGGTTTGTGGCTTACGGCAAGGTATGACGGATTTCTGCGAAGACTCCGTCAGACTTCAAAACTCTTCCCTCCTCCCCGATGTTAAGCATACTGCGTGTTGGGGGTGGGGGCATCTCAGTAGCAAGAAAAATGTGTGTGACTATAAATAATCTTGAAGAAGGTTAGCCAGAAGCCGAGTAATCTCCAGGATCCACATGCGCACAGGGGCTTTCTTGGGCCTGTACATTTTGCTGCATGCAATTTCGGGCAATGTGTTTGGGTAAACCCCAAACCCTAGAGGGTTATTTTGCTGATATTCCAACTCCGCGCATGGGAAGCCTGGGCAAGTTGAAGCTGAGTCCCTAAAATCTAAACTCTAAACCCAATATGATTTGCGTGACAACTACCACGTGGCCGGTACTTATAGCTTTGCTACTGACATCAGGCGCTACAGCTCCCATACGGTTGATGGACAAAACTTCTGCCTGATGCTTCTTAGTACCTAAAGCCATGCAAGTATAGGGCTATGGCACACCTAGGGTCATGCAAGATTTTGTCATGAGCAGTGGAGAACTCCTTCGCTTCCCCGACGACAACTCCAGGAAGGGCTTCCTCTTGACGCTTCTGTTGTCGCTTGCGCGAGACCTCTCGCTGCGTCGGTGTGATCTCTGCGCATGCAAAACCCAAATATTGGAACACCTGTACATTATTGAGGGTTGGGCATAATTCAAGTACGACCCTACATTTTTTCCGCGGCGTTCAAGTCACGGGTGCGGTTTCAAGCTTCAGTCTCAGCGCGGTTTAGTAAGAGGTTAGGGGGTGATATGTCAGACAACACTCAAAGGGGCCATGTAGCCATATTATATATACTTGGGCCCCACAGAAATCATTTGCGATTCCCTTTGGCTCCTAAGTATAGGCTATATACCTGCATGGAATCTTTGGGGCACAGTGCGAGACGGACGTTGCGAACTCAATAATGGCGCATGCCTGTTGGGGACGGCATCCTCCCCCGGGCAATGATATGAGCTATACTAAAGTCCTATAGTACCCCCCAAACAGTCCCTAAAATACTCCCCTATACAACCCCCTTTAAGGAGTTTGGCCTATAGCTAGGGTATGATGAAACCGAGTAACCTCTCACCCTCACTCCCCGCCGCGGTCCTGTGGCTTGTGGTCTGGGTACTTTCGTGTAGCGATGTGTAGTGCGCAAAGACGGTTTATGAAAAGCAAAGATTTTTGCTGTGGCCTTATCCCCGAATGGGGAAAACACCATGAGGGGACGGGCTGGGAACACGGGGCATTCTCTAACTAGGACCACGGCAATTCCCCTATAACGTATAACACGCCAACCCTGGCCCTAGACCCTAAACCCTAAACCAAAATCCTAAACTCCTGGAGTTTAAAGATTTTGCAGGATGGCCTCGACGTCGTCGGCATCACTGTCGGACAGCTCATACTGCTGCCATGGTGCGCCAGCTTCTGTCATGAGTTTGCCTTGCTCAGCTGGATTCATCGGGGCTATCTGGGGTTTACCCTAAGGGTCCAGGACCCAAATAATAGGGTCCCTTTAGAGGGATTATAGGGGGATACATAGGGGGTATATAAGGCCCAAATAATAAGGTTTTACGCCCCAAACATTCTAATTTGAATGGTATTTGGGACCTGACCTAAAACCCTATTATTTGGGTCCTTGGACCCTCAGGGTTAGGGATCAGACAAGAATTGTATCAGGGTGCGCGACTTGGGCCGGGGGTCATACTGGAGGGGCTATAAGGCTTGTACTGCGGCGAGGTACGAAACACTAGTGCCACCTAGAATTATAATCATGTCTTTGGTTTTCCCTGCCTAGTTATGTTGCCCAGACCGGAGTGCGAAACTGCACTTGACGCTCCAAGGTTCGATGCACGTACTAAGCAGTTCAAGAGCCCAGGCAGATCAGACAAGACTCGTCAAGGGGTTACATTACAGGGATATTGCGACGGCTAACTATGGAGAACCAAAGGGAAAAATAATGGAACATGAAATGGAGACTGGGCTTATATGGGCGGTTATAGGGCTTTGGCACGGCCGAGTCTCTGTTCAGAAACGACTGCACGCCACTGAGGCTACGGTTTGTGGTGATGGTCACCCGCGCTGCAAGGGTGTAGGCCGAAGTGTCCTGGTCTACACAGCCGGACCAAAAGAGCATCTCAGCAATCCTTGCAATGCATCTGCTTGAAAATGCATGTCGCTGGGAGGAACTAGCTAGTGCAAGTGCGCTTCAACAGTTTCTACGTCGCAAGGGCCAGAAAGGATTTTTGGAACGCGGGATTTCCGATTTCAGGGTGGGGAGGCCCCAGTGGCACCACGCTACCATGCACCTGAAGTCCACTAGTCTGCTCCAAGGGGCATAGAGCGACACAAATGGGGAGTTCCGGGATGAGCAAAGCAGCAGCTCCCCACTACGCGCGTAGGCGATGGAGTTGAAATTCCTGAGTCATGGGAGTTTTGGGATTTATTAGACTTTTAATAAGGCTTATAATAGGCCTTGCTAGTTGTGGGAAAGTGCTATGACTTGGTGCTCAGCGAACAGGTTGTGTGAGGGGATGCATATGGAAGGACCAGGGTAATCCTACGCCTTCGTACTCAGCAAACCGGGAGATAAGAATTGAAACGGTAGCCCGAGCTGTCACAATGACAAGAATACATTTTCCCAAAACCTGTACAACATCTAGTATTACCGAGGCCACATGTACTCAGTGATTCGGTTCTGAGGCTCCGCGGATGGATGTTCTTCAACCAGCTGGGAAACAGAACGCCAGCTCAGAGAGTCGGCTTAGGGCTTTGAACTTGGAGTTCCTATACACACATCATATTTGTGCATGTTTGGGGACTCAGGAGGCTTGTAACTGGGTTATATGTATAATTACGGGTATAGGTCGCATGTATGAATGGATCTCCAGGCAAGGGTTCAAAGGGAGGTCGCATGTATGAATGGATCTCCAGGCAAGGGTTCAAAGGGAGGTTCATTCTAATCTCACCAAGTAGAAGATCGAGTGAAAACCCTATCTCTGGAAGACTGCAGGACTGCGATCCAAGACAAGCGCCACACTACATGGGACTTTGAAACAATAGGGATCCCTCTCAAGTATACGCCAAAGGATGTATGAAAGCCTTCCCCAGAATCCCTAAACTCTAAAATCTATATACAGCCCTGACTATAACCCCTAATGTAGACCCTTAACCCTTTCTTGGAAATTTCCATGCTGCAAGGCTGCTATGTGGGAAGATTACCTGCTTCTCCACCCTTTATTTAGCAACAGTTTGCCCAAAACATGCCTAATTCACTGGGTTCCTGTTAAAGAACTTATACTAAGTTACAATAGTTGATATACATATATTTGTATGTGTATATATATATATAATAATCAACATGGTCCCCCCCATTATAGTGGGGGATGCATGGCAGTATGCTGGGTTGCTGTTGAGGAATTTAAATGAAGTTACCATAATGGGTATATAAGTCAATAGTAGGGTTTCCCCAAAATACAATAACTTACTTTAAGTTCCATAACAGCAACCCAGTAGGCGTGGGGGGCGGGGAGGGGAGTAGGGAACCACAAAACTCGGAACCAGGGCTCTGGTTGAGGTTCACGCCGTCCGCAGGGCGCCCTGCAGAGGAGGGTGCTTTGTGGGTATGTTAAGTATGCTTGGAAAAGCTATTATAAGGGGTTGTATAAGATTTAAGATTTATTCAAAAGAGAGTGGTAGATGAAATGGAACTAGATTCACATAAGGCATATAGGGGATACCGTACATTTTATTTGGGATAGGTAAGCAGGTTACGATCCACAAATGTCATCTATTATCTCGATGTTGAGCAGCCATCCGATCTTTCTTCAGGGCCATGACGAGCCATAGGGAAGATGTATGACCCTGATATGAAGTAGAACAATTACGCACCCAGTGGCAAATTCTAACCTGTGTACCTAAACTCACCTAGACCTCACACATAGCCACAATAATGGCTTCTTGCATTGAACAAATTGTTATAAAGTCTGGTATTCTGTGCATTTGGGGAAACCCCCATAGCCGTAAACCCCGAACCCTAAACCCTAAATCCTAAAGCCTAAACCATACACCCTAAACCCTAACCCCCCTCAGATCTGCCGGGCCACTCTTCTTCATGCCGCCTCCAGGCTTCAGGCCCCGCTCGTTCACTGCTGAGAACATGTCTTTCCAGTGTCTGGCACTCCTCAGGTGGTCCACGGTTAGGGGATGGTGGGGGGGTTTCCTGGAGGATGATATGCAGTAGGGTTTAGGGCTTTGGGGTGTAGAGATTAGGATAACAATAGTGGCTATAAAGGAAAACAAGGATTTTTGTAGGGTTTAGGGCTTTAGGGTTTTAGGGTTGTGAAAGCGTTTCGGGCAGGGCTTCTGGAGCATTCTAAACCTACATGGATGGTTTCCATGCTTTAGAGCACGTGTTGAACACATAGTTAAAAGGAAGCGCTTAAGTACAAGATCCCTTGAGGCATTGCATCTTTCAGTTGCCCACTGCAAAATAGTTTGCAACATAGAGTGTCCCTAAACCTTGGAACCTAAACCACAAAACCCAACTTAAAGTAGGAACTCCCAGGGTGCTAAGGTGCCATGCCAGACAGGAGGAAGCATCCAAAATTAGAAACATGTGGGGTGTCCTTTTTGGGGGTCCCCATAATAAGGACTATACTATGTTAGGGGTCTACATTGGGGTACCCTAATTTGGGGAAACTACCTTTTCGAGATGCATAAGGTGCAGGTGTACATCGCAACCCTTAATCGACACGCACTCATCTTGTTGCTTCGGGCCTTTTCCGTCTGCTCGACCTGACATTCAGGAAGTAACCTATAGATGGGCAACCGAGGTACTGAATATCGCGAATGCCATCGATGGATCCGATGTTCTGTGCAGTGACCACGTTCCAAAACAGAACCTGAAGGTTCGCCTATTAACCCTACATAACCCTTTTATAAGCTTTTAGCAATAATGGGGTTTTGGCACCCCAATCCCCCAAAATCAGGACCCTGTAACCATCATATGGTAGTCGTAGGGTCCTAATTTTGGGGGGGTTGGGGTTCCCCAAACTTCTTTATTCTATAGAACCCCATTACACCCTTTTGGTCCCCAAGAATCTCATATAACCCAACCTGCCCGGAGAGGCATGCGGCTGCGCAGAGGTCATTCCTGAGACTTGATTCGAACAGTTCCCAAAACACTCATGGCCTTGTCTTCTTTCTGGTTAGGTTTTAGGGATAGTGGGGCTTAGGTTTAATGATTAGGGTTTGTTTGCAGTAGGAAAAACTGAATAGAATCAGATGGAAAAGGAAACTCTGCTACTGGAGACTACTATACCATTGGGAATGATAATAAAGATACAATAAGGATCCAGTCCTTTATTCCTTGCTAACCAGAGGTAAGTGATGAGTCCGACAGTAGGAGGGCCGGAAATGAACTATATTCTTTACCCCTAGTCCCCCTTAATTACCCCTATAATAGTCCCCCATAACAATAGTCTCCTATATAATCCCCTTTTCAGGAGGCTAGACTATAGCCCAAATTTTGAGAATCCTGATGGGCCGACTTCAGCATAGTAAGCTAAATGAGAAGCCAAGGACAAGAACGAAAGTGGGACAAAAAAACACGCAGACTAACTAGCTGCTAGCAAAAGCTAAACACATCACTATGTTCGCCAACTTCATGGTTGCCACCTAACTGCCCTAGTTAGCTGGGTGATTGTGAAACCTGACACCTTGTGGGAAGCAGGAGTCTTCCATTGAACGCTCCCTAAACACATGGAACCACATCACGTCTGTCTGGTTTGCCTAAGCACCTTCTTTACATGGAGCAAGAATCAGAACCCTGAAGCCTGTCAAGAATCGAAATGCTAAACTCAAACCCTATAGTCCCTCTTAAGTAGATAGTATATGGGGTATATGGGGATCTTATTATAATATGCCCAAAGCGGTATTCTATCTACTTAAGGGGGGGCTATAAATCATTAGCGCGCTCCAAAGCTCCCCCGTGGGTCGAAGCACACGGCTACGACGCTCGAGGAGCACTGCAATGCTTCAGCAGAGCCACCCTTTCAGGCTGCTGTTACTAAAGGGACCTTACTGGGAACC